TGTGTGTGTGTGTGTGTGTGTGTGTGTGTGTGTGTGTGTGTGTGTGTGTGTGTGTGTGTGTGTGTGTGATGGCTTGTAAATTTGTGATGGTTTATGTGGATGTGTACATGAGAGAGAGATTCACGTGAGTGGATGAGAAGTGGAATTGCTTTTGGTATTACGAGTGTGTGTGTGTGTGTGTGTGTGTGTGTGTGTTTTAAAGACATGTCTCCACACTGGCTGTTAAAGTGAATGATGGCTCCAGTGACCTTATAGAGGCGGGTTTTCACATCCCGTCCTCCCCATGTTCATGCCTCATGACCCTGAGTCTGCTCACATACAAAGCACACACACACACTTTGTTCAAACTGCAGCAGATGAATTTTCAACATATTTCTATTCTTTCCTCAACATTGAGCTGCTGTTGTTCCCCTGAAGAAAACTGAATTTCAGTCCAAACACTGACGATATTTTTTGTGGCCGAGGAGAAGTGATTTATGGCTGTCAGCGTTTAAAGACATGAAGGTGTAGCTGTGACATTAAGGTGCCAAATTTGTCTGGACTGCAGTATTTTTCTATGATTTGTGAGAGATGCATTTGAGCCAAAGTGTGAGTGTGATTCTCCGTCTATACGTCGCAACCTTGAGATGCACAAGTGACCTCTTGAGAGACATCCCCGCCTCTCATGCAGTGTGAGCTGGGATAGCTTTAAAAACAAAAAAATACTAAATGTACAGAGATAATGATGAAACAGAAACTATTAGATTTCTAGAAATAAAAGTTAATAGAATAAAATCATAAAATATAATATTGATAATAATCATCTGTTCACATGGGTTTTCTCGGCCGTCCCTCTACAACTCAAGACACGCAGCTTAGCCCTGTCGGTCCTGTCACAGACCTGTGTAGAGTTTTCCCTGCCCCTCATCCAATGTCAGCTGGGATTGACTCCAGCCCCCCCGCGACCCTCGGAGGATCAGCAGTAAAGACACTGGAGGGATGGAGCTCCCTTTCCTTTAGGCAGACAGTTGTTTCACCTCTGTTGGAGGTAATGAAACGCACTGGAAAAACTGGCTGTGTAATTACCACTTGCAGACATCCCAGATGTTAGTGTTCATAGATTATAGCCTGGCTTCCATATTCTCAGTGAATTGTTCCTGTGTCATTTATGACCTCAGCATGTTGTCGTGAATATATTCCAAAAGGTGCTGATTAGCTTCTCTACACTTCTCCCAACTCTTTCATTTCTATCAGAAACTTCTCTCTGGTAAAAACTGCGGCCGATGGTCACTTAAGTCTTTTTTTAAATTTTTCTCTCCTCCCTGTCTCTTCGTGACACAATGCTAATTAGATGCTAATTACTGTAGATCGTCAGGGAATGTTGTAGCTGAGAGCTGAGCTGGGGCGTTTGTTAATGACACGGAGCAGCCGGATAAACTCAGCTATTAGCACTGCTGGGGCACTGTCATACCAACACAAGCCTTGTTAGGAAGCCCCCTGTGTGTGTCTGTTTGTGTGTGTGTGTCTGTGTGTGTCTGTGTGTGTGTGTGGTGATGAGATGGGATGTGTCAAGACATAACGAGCGGGGTAAACCTTTTCACAGAGTATTACAATGATTTGTGGTTGTGTGTCTGTGTGTTTGCATTTGTACCCGTGTGCACGCTTCCTCTCCTGTTTGCTCATTTCTTGAAGTCGTGTTGTGAATTCTGACACTAAGACCGCACGCTTAATGTCTCCTTGTTACCACAGCAACTAGGCAGGATGATGTCATGAAATGACACGGTACAGTTTTATGATATCGTCGTAAATCAAAATCTGTCCGATGGAGGCACAACCAAACGGGATATATTTAATAGTTCAAACAACTCCAACTGTATAAAAGTTACTGTGAGTGTGTTCTGTATGGAAACAAAGCACTATGCAAATAATCTGTATTATTATTTTCTCAGCGTTAATCTTTTAAATAACGTTGTGTCTTACTCATGTTTTGGACTGTCGTCTCTTACAGGTGTTGGCAGCCTACGACTTCACAGCCAGAGGAAGCCATGAAGTTTCTGTTCGGGCCGGCGAGTCAGTCCGCATCCTGGAGGCCCACGACAAACGAGGGAACCCCGAGTGGAGCCTGGTAGAGGTGAGAGGTGGTCAGAGAGGCTACGTGCCCTCCAACTACCTCACAATCACGCCACTGGGGATGGGACCACCTGGGTGTCACCACTGATGGGAAGGAAGAGAGGGATTGCACCTGGGGGAAATACAGCAGCACGTACAGCATCAGTGTGTAGAAGGCTTACAGCAGTGTTTTTGTAATGAGGCTGCACCTGCTTCTTTAAGCTCATAAAACAAAAGCAAGTGTAGTAACTACATCATGATAATCGGTGATTTAGATTTTCTTGAAAAATGCCAAACTCTCCTCAAAGCGTTTTGAGTCAATCTCATAATGAAAGCAAAGGAAGCTTGTTTTTATTTTCCCAAGGGATCATTTAACCGTCATTTTCCAAAACCAAAAACATACTTTGCTGAAGTGAAGATACCAGAAGTCTTGCCCGATGCCGTGGACAAACACTTGAAGATTTAAAAAAAAACAGTGACAACTCTCTGCGGTGCCTCGAGCTAAACTTTCAAAATGACTTGAAGAACATCTCAAAAAACATTTATACATTTGCACTAGGGTTTCAGTTTGGACAGTAGCACCTGCAGAACACTGAGAGTGTTCACATGGAAGGAAAAGCTTTGAAATACGAACAGTGTTTGGCTCCACAGAATATTATATATAGTTAATATTTGCCAAGTGATTGATGTATGTGACACACTGGGGAAACTAATGAAGGAAGCAGCAGCCCCAGCGCTGGGAGTCGTACAGTACGGCGCCTTGCTCGTGGACACCTGGGAGGGTTGCAGAGTTTGCTTGCGGCCACTGCAAAATCTTTATGGAGGATGTTCAAAAGCATCAGACGATAAGAAAATGATTTTGAAGGTGAGCAGCGTTGGTCTGAGCTCGAAATGAAGAGAGACGTTCGGACACGACCACCCTCAACTGAACAGAAAAAGACTCCGTATGTCCCTGTGTTGGCAAACTAACTGCAACGCTTACACACCCTGAGTGTGTGTGTGCATCTGTTTGACATGAAGCTAGGCTGACAGGTGTGTGTGTGTGTGTGAATGTGTGTGAATGTGTGTGTGTGAAGTCGCCTCCTCCTCACCTGGAGGCAGGATCAGCACTGTATCAAGACTGACAGGTACACAACGCTCTCATCATCTCAGACTGTGTAATGTGATGTAAATGCAAAATGTCTCCAGGCCTGAAATAGACAGAGAGACAGAGGGAGCGAGTGAGAGAGAGGAGGAAGTAGAGATGCAAGGAGAGGAGGGAGAACGAGTCCAAGTGTTTCAGGAAAATGGAAGAAAGACCTGTGGAGGAGTTTCTCTGTTAGTTTGAATATTTCCTCTTCAGCCTCCTTTGTTTTTTCCCTTTCTGAACACAACCCTGACGTGAATTCACTCATCGCACATTCACCGCTGCGTTCGTGAAGGTGAAGTGTCTCTGTTCCCTCAGCCCTCATTACTGTAAGATTTACTCTCCATCTCGGCTGAAAAAGTTTTCAAACGGGATGAAGATGACCTACTTCTGTGTTCACGGACACCTGATGATGGCTGTTGCCATGGATACTGTTCAATCAATGCAGCTCGCGTCTCACCGTGGCGTTTCCCCCAAGTTGAGTGGACTGTGAAAGCGCTCCGGTGGAAATCGGGTTGTTTTAGTCGGATTAGTTAAAACTGTTCCACTTCATTATGTCGCAGTGCTCCGTACATCCGGCAGAGCATCAAGAGGTTTACACGCGAGACTCCGCAGTGAGTGTCTCCTCTTTGTATATTAACAAACACTCTCAGTACTTTTAAAAACAGAGCAAAGATCTGTCTCTTGACTTAATAATAATGAGACATTTATCCAGATAATTATGGGTTGAGATGAAATCTTTTACCCTGATAGAATTTGTATAGCGTTATCATTCCAGCCCTCACATGTAATGTGACCGTGGTTTCTCGATGTGATGAATCCGCTTGACGTTGCAGTTCATCTCACCTCTATGAAGCTTTAAAGAAACCTCTCTGATGAGTATTTGATGTAGTTCGAGCGCTCTCGTGAATCTTCTCTCTGGCAACAGCGGACATTGTCTTTCGTAAAACTTCTACCTTATTAAATACTTTTCACAAAATTAGAAACATTAACATCCAGCAAATGCTGACTTCCAATGACCAACTAATAACGCAATGAGTATTTTAGAAACACAAATAATACAATAGTATAATGACCTCCCTCTTGTTACATGAGAGTGTTTTGTATAATATCGAGTCTCCTACTGTTTCCTGAATTGCTGCATCCGCTGCTGTGGATGGGAAGCAGGAAGAAGGAGGCTGGGATCAGGAGCTGCTCAGCTGGAGCTCAGCTTCACCCATCAGCCTGAATGTCAGGACAGAGCAGAGCAGCAGGAGGGAGAGGGAGTGTGTGTGTGATGATACTTAAATACCAAATGTCCTCAAGGTTAGTAAGATGAAAGAATATGAAGAAAACCCTCCAACCTGAGAACATTTTACCTGCGCTCACCCTTTCAAAGGCCACTTCAGGGGGAAGGAAGAAATTCAGCTTTTAAATGTTATTAATCAGACATTAATTCATTTTAATTCAGTCGTATTTAGTGTATTTTGTTTTTAATTCCGGTTTATTGCAAATGAAGCATGTGAAACTGCCGAATGTACATTTTTAATAGAGTATTTTCTTTTTGTCTTGGAAAGCCTGACCAAAAATATAGATGGTGTAAAAACTTATCTGTTTACACACACACACACACACACACACACACACACACACACACACACACACACACACACACACACTCTGTGATTGTGCCTTGCCAAACTTGTTTATACTTATTCACCACACCACCAGAGGGAGTATGAGACGTTGGTTGTGCTGGCTGAGGGAGCCTTTGTATGTCAGCATGCAACTGGAAAGAGTGTGTGTGTGTGTGTGTGTGTGTGTGTGTTACCTCCATCTTTACTTTACCGTTCGTCAGTATTAGTTCTTTGAGCTCACAGTCGGCTTCTGTACATTCTGTTCATGTTTAGTTTATGATTTTTTAATAATTAAGCTTCTGTACAGGCTTTGTGTTTTTAAGCAAATTGCTTTGTAAATGTGTGTTTCATTAAGTGTCAAGAGTTAAATTATTTTACGCCACAGAGCTACAAGAGATGAAGTCTTTTTAAGTATTGCCAAAGTTATGATGTTGAACTCAATCACACACACACACACACACACACACACCAGTTGAGCATTTGTGCAGAGCAGCAGTCAGCTGTGAATTGACTGTGGCTTTAATAAAACTAAAAGAAACCTGCTCAGTGTTCTCGAGTCATTTCACACATGTATGATATCCGACTTCAGATTCGCAAAACAACCGTCAACAAATAACCAGATGAGAAAAAAATGACCACATAACAAACTGGACACATCATAAATAACAATACATCACATGGGTCAGTTTCTTTCATAATCAACCCATGAATACTGTTTGTAAAGTCCCAGACTGACTAATAGAATTTGGACGCAGAAGTTAACGACTACATCTTCTCGCTCCTCCGACGATTACCACTGTGGCGCCTGTAAGCAAGGCACAGGAACACAGACTGTGTCAGCAGAGCTGTTTACTCTCTGTGGAAACTAGTTCTGGTAGATTCTTACAGACTGAACATGTTTACAGAGTAAACTGATTTCCCTGCAGGCTTCAGACTCGACGGTGTGAACAGCAGCTGTCACTACATCTTTGGCACTTCGTCTGAAATATCGCGTTTACTCGCGTTCCTGCTCTCGTCCTGTTTATTGGTTTTAAGCATCTCGACCGTGGGATCGACTGAGCGATCGAACACCAGTCGTTTTTTATTCCCAGCACAAACTATTCTTAAATCCCTGTTTTCTCTGAGTCATTTTATTTTTATTTCCAGAGCTTCAGTTGTGAGTTTTTACCGCTCACAGGTTCCTCTTTCATCTTCATACACCCTCAGTGCAGCCGAGTGCAAAATAAACGCACAATAGAAAGCTTAGCAGAGGAATACACACACACACACACACACACACACACACACACACACACATTTGTATGCTGTGCTGTGTTGAGCTGTGTTTCTCTTATGGGTGAGTTCAGCTTCAGTGTACCCTTCACCTGCTGTGAATGTAAAGCAGCTCAGAGTCAAATATTTCCCAGAGAAATAAAAGTGTAGAGAAACGCTATGACATTATTTTTTTTATTCCCCACATACTATGAATTTCATTTGAATGTCTGTCATGAACTTGTGACCACTTCTCCATGTTTCCTATTTCCTCCCTCTCACGCTTTTCTTTGTCTTTGCTGCGTTTCCCCAAGATCCAGTGTTTTATGATTCAGATATTGAAGCTGGAGTTAAATGTGAATGAGTCCACCACGTGTCTATGTTGGTGCAGAACAGACAAATGTTCCCTGCAGGCCACCGTAGCCTCTCCATGCTTGGACAGGGACGTGTGAAGGGACGGGCCTGTAGTCAGCCTCTAACATACTTTAACTTACATAATTGAGTCTATGATTTACTGTGTCTCCTGACAGTAAGAATGTTGTGAGTCAACCATGTTCTCATGTGCACAGGTACCACTTATTTTTAAAGTATATATATGAGGTATTTTCATGAGTTTTACTAGTGAACTCATGCAACTGGTATATTCTCGTGAGTGAGAAGAGTTTATGTCCAACAATTTGTCCATCACTCTCATGTTCCTTGTAACGTCCTCTGAGCTGGCCTCACTTGCTGTCTCTGCAGCTGCTGTCGAGATGTTTTTCCATTTCCTTTTTAGACCTGGCACTGAAAATACTCGTCTTGTGTATTTGTATCAGTAACCTACTTTATCGTGTGCAGCACTAAATCAGTTGTTTTGACCGGAGCCTCACAGGCGGTAACGAAACTCTGAAAGTCTGCAGCGGGTTCTTCTGCTCTGTCTCTACAGAGGTTAAACTTCGGGTAGCACTTACTGTCGTCATCTAAAATGATTTTAGTTAATTTGAATATATCCCACTAATAAATATTCATTTAAAGGAACTATTAATTTTCTTTCATTTCCTCTGTGGTCTTTTAATGGCTCTACCCTCTGTGTGTGTAGCGTGCAGTGCTGCATAGTAACACAGCTGTAGAATCACATCTTCTGAGTGTCTGTTGTGTTTAAGGCTGGAGCTGCCAATGGAATCTGAGCATGTGTGTGTGTATGTGCACCGAGCCTCTCCACAGGGAACATTAGCCGGCTTCTGTGGGCACTGGAGTGTGAATTGTAGAGTTGGTTTGGGGGCTTTTAGAGTAGCACTTAGTGAACAAATGCTGCCTTTGTGTTTGTGTGGAGGAACATCAAGACGAGCGGCTTGCAGGGACGTAGACACTCGGATGTTTCGTGTGTTTGTGTTGAAGTAAACGTGCACGTATGAATATCTTATATTTGTAGATAGCAAACATTTCCTGTGTAGTTTTATGGCTTTACACCACCACATATGTTTCCGTTCAAGCGTGTGTGTGTATTGGCATAAACTTGTGCGTGTGTGTGTGCGCTCATTAATGCTTACGTCAGCAAAATCATTTTACTGTCAGAAGCAGTTTGATGCAGAATAAACTCCTTCAGGCACCTGATAGCCTCTGAATGACTGTGTATGAGCGAGTGTGTGTTTAGAAATTAGTCTCGGAATCAGTGTGTGTGTGTGTGTGTGAGTGTGTGCCCTCGAGAGAGTGTGTGTGTGTGTGGGAGGATGGACGTGCCTGTGTGTATGTGTGTGTGTGTGTGTGTGTGGCTGAGCCTCAGCAGCATAACAGTGAACAGATCTCAGGCTATAAATATCTTGTCCTCTAGCTGAAGCTGAGCTAAAAATAGGTGCATGCTACACACTGCCACCCAGGGAACAATAGAAGAACTGCAGCCAAGCTGAGTAAGAACCTAAGAATCAAATCAACACATCACAGCCGACTGTCATTTCATAGTGAGAAGGAAAAGTCAGGATGTTTGGACAAATGAATGTTTTGTTGATTAGTATTTTTTTAATGAGATACTGAAATATGAAGCATGTAAGACATCATTTAAAATGCACTAGACTGTGATTTCATTTCTGTGTCCTTCACTGTGGAATCTGCAGAAACTGATCGATAAGATAGGAAATAAATAGTTTTTCAGAATCTGGTCAGTGACCTGATAAAGAGCTGTGCTCATTTTAGCTCCAACAGAGAAACAATTTTCAGATCTATAGACTTCAACAGGAGAATATGTTGCGGCAGCTCAGCAGTGCTGCGTTTGTGTTGAAGAGCAAAATGGAAAAAGCTGCAAAACAATTTAACTGAGGAGAGACGGTGCAGGTCGGTCTGGAAACACCCAGAGTTATTCTCTTAACCTCTTTGTCTCTGCAACTTTGTTAGTGCGACATTAAATGTGTGTTGTTGTTTTTTTATTGTGGACACTGACATAAATAATACAAATATATCCGTCTCAGTGTTTGGGGGAGTTAAAGGACCATCGTTTGTAATCTTCGTTCCACCAGTATGTTGTGGCTTCATCTTTGCAGCTGTGTGTGTGTGTGTGCGTGTGTGTGTGCGTGTGTGTGTGCGTGTGCGTGTGTGTGTGTGTGTGTGTGTGTGTGCGTGCGTGCGTGTGCGTGCGCTAAGAGCAACAACGGTCAACCAAAATGTTGCTAATAGCAGCCTCAGGGAGAGGGCAAGCCATCTGTGCCTCTGCATGCGAGACATAAGAGTGTGTGTCTGTCTGTGTGTTTTGTCACGGCCTTATTTACAGCTGATCCCGTCATGATTTATATTTGAAGAGGTGGAAAGAAAGAAAGAACACACACACATACTATGACTTGGCGCTGACGCTGCAACCGACTGTGTCACAACATCCTCACACTCGCTGGAGCCAGGTGTAAAGTGCCGTCTGTCGTCGTGTCTGGTCGTCACAACATCAAAACTCTGCTTGATATTTAAGACTCAGGTCTTAGGTTCAGGTTAGAATTAGATGTGGGTCAGGGGCGAGGTGGGCGGTGATGGGCATCTGTTTGTGGTCGTTAAGGTGACGGTTAGGGCCGAGGGATTGTGTGAAAGAGTGTCCTCGCAGCTTTAGAGGCATATTATTGTGTGTGTTTTTTATAGAGTGAGTATTATTGTGTATTTTACAAGTGTGAGTGTAGCTGTGTCCCATTTCTGGAGCCTTCATAGTCTGACTGTGACGGCCAAGACAGAATGAGCAGGTCAGAGGATTTGAATGAGCTGAAGCTTCATATTCACATGAAAAGTCAACTCTTCTCTTCGTTTGCCGCCAGTTTATCTTTTGGAAAATCATTCAGGGACTAGTGATGCAATAACTTTCCATACAGGCACTGTTGTGTGTCACAGTGTGTGTTTCACAGTGAGTGTGTTACAGTGTGTGCTAAAGTCTAAATAGTAAATAGTCAGTATTTTCTAGCAGTGATGACCATGGAAGGGAGGAGCCGGTGATCAAACGACCTGCTTCATCCTCTCTTCAGTGTTATAATAGTTGTTACAGCGTGAGTGTACTGTGTGAGCTCTGTCTCTCCGGGGGGTTTGAATTTGGCTGCACCTAATTTCAGTCATCAGCTGTCACCCCAACCTCTCACTCACACACACACACACGCACACACAC